CATTGAGTCCAGTACGCTTTCTTCCACTCCACTCCACCTGATTCCATTTGATACCATCCCGATCCCGATCCCCATTATCATTCCCATCCCCATCTCAATTCCGATTTCAATCTGCGTTTGTGGTAGTTAATTCCGAGTGTGCTTTTTTCGGCGGTGGCAAATTTGTTATTTATTGCGTTTTGTGTTTAAGTATAGAATGGTGCTTTGTTCGCTTTCCCAAGGTCGTGCCGCACATTAAGGCAGCGCCGTCAGCATCAGAAAACAATTCTAAATATTGCATCACGAGCCGGGGAACAAAGAGTCTTCGAAGATGCGAATACCCTGCAGGGAATGGAGAAATTTCCGGGGAGTTCCATCTACAGCAACCTTATATACAATGATTTTTCAATCCAGAATGCCACTCTCAACTAGAAAAGCTATCAAATGAGAAATTTTCAGGTTTTAATTTTAAATAATTAGATAGGATAGATAGCATGCTTGGACTATTTAGTTATACGTTATTGTCTTAATATTGTTTTAATTTCGGTTTCTCATTATGGTACTTAGGAGCTAAAGAATTCTTATTTCTTCTTCTTCTTGTTTCTTATCTTCGGTTAAGTCCCAATACGCTTTGTAGAGGGTACCCTCAAGATAATACGCATCGGAATATATTGATAGAATTGCGTTCGCAATCGCCGGCGGGCTTAACTTGCGCATTAATTCAATGTTTGCACATACAATACTGTGGCGTACGAGCTGTGTGTGGAATCACGTTACTTACTATACTATATAGCCGTAGTATGCATAAATCGTGCCGAGTGATATGGCAGTGCGAGTGGCGAAAACACGTTATCAAAACGGATGTGTTTGATCGCTCCGATCGGATGGCAATTGGCGATCTAAGTCTGGCCAAGTGATGGGAAATCCAGCCAGTGATCTCTGTTTCCAAGCGGAAGCTTCCCTTTGAGTCAAGCAACTCGTGGATTCCATAACTTGCAATCTCTGCATTCCTCAGCCATCCGCAGAGTTCCTTATTCAAGGCATTCCGCAGCAGTGAGTCATCCGTTCGGCGGACGAAATCCTTGAATTGCTCTCATGACTGTACGCCTAGAAACCATTCCATTGGGATCACCATCTCACCATCTTCATTCTCGGTATCATTCGCATTTCGAGTCTGTTGCCAGCTGAAATCGAGAGCGGAGATCGCATCGCAGGGCGACTAGCAGAGTCATTAGCCTTTTGGCAGCAGTTCCTGGGTTCCTGGAAGCGAGACCTCTGCACAACGACCGTTGCCAAGGCCGAAACAGTTTTCCTGTTCTCGTTTTTCATTTACTCAATATATCGCTATCGCGCTTCACTGCTGCTGATCCTTAAGGTGGCTGGCGATCAGGACCTGTAGAGCCAGCCAGCCAGCCAGCCAGCCATCCAACCAGCCAACCAACCAACCAGCCAACCATTCATTCATTCATTGACCCCGGGGCCATTGTCTCGCCTTCGAGTGGATCTCGCTCACTTGGTTACTGGTTAACCTGCCTCCGAGTGTCCTAGGGTTCAACGACCATCCCAAACCACTACCTGATCTCTACCTGATCCTTAAAGCCAACTGGCTTGCGTGTGCAACTACTATCAAGAGATATTCCCTAGCTGCCTTCTCAACTTCTCCACTTCTCAGTTTCTCAGTGAGTTTCTCCGGCGCGTGTTGGCCTTGATATTTGCATCTTCACATTTGGCATTTTGCATTTTGCGAATCGGGAATCAACGGAGCTCCCTGGCTCGTGCCATCTTGTATTGAAATCAATTCGAATCCAAATCGAAATCGAAATCAAATCGAATCGAATTGAATCTAAACCGAATCCCCTGACAACGCTCACAGATCAGATGAGATGACTCGATGCGAGTTGGGTTGATATACTTGGGGGGTCATACCATACGTTGGTATTCTAATGGCGATTGGAACAGAGACGCGATTCAAAATTGAGCAGATGCAAATTAGTTCATTGGCCGCAGAGCGTTTTATAAATTGTTCTGAGCAAAAGGTTTAACCAGCTGCAATTTGCATAAATATTTGCTAATTGCTGGGTCCAGAACCAACCGGATCCTAGCTTTTTTTAACGCCATGGATCTAAAATAAACGAAGTACGATGGCCTTCAGCGATTCCAGGTAGAAGAACTGGGTCAAAGGCATCGAAATTTCTCGGCTTTTCCACCGATTACAACCTTCAGCGACCACTTCTTACCCAACGCAATGGAAATTCCGGTTGAATTGGCCATCTGCTATCCGAAATCGAACCAATTCCAATGACAACATTTTCATATGCATATCAATATTTCGAAATTTCTTGACGTCTCTGCCTGTGTATTTTCCGTATTCCGACGTCAGTTTTAAATTGAGGGTCGGACCTTGTCCTTAAAGAGCCAAAAGAACCGGCACAAACAGATAAATATTAAAAGCCAAAACAGCCGCAAAGCACAAAACAAACAAAAGCCATATACTATACAATACCAAAGATACAAAAACACAAACAGAAACTGAAATCGAAACAGAAACTTCTGCAGAATTGATTACAGATGCATCCATTTGAATTTGAATTTTGATTTTGATTCCGAAAATGAGCTCAGGTGTTGGTTGGTTGCTGGTGGGTTGTTATTATTCGATTCGATTCGATTCGATTCGATTCAATGGTTTATTTTGTTGTCGTTATGCTGATTGTTTTAATATCGCTTCTGAACTTGAATGCGGTGCAGGCTGCTGACGTCACATCGCCAAATTGAACGACTAATATTCGAGTGGAGTATCCAGAAACCCGTTGAGCAGCTCGTCACTTTGTGGGAGTGGGATTGTGCCATTACGCCCATTTCCACCCAACCCCCTTCCCCTCCCCCTGCCCCTAAAAAGCGAATACTTTTGAGCCTCTGAATCTGTAGATCGGCCGACGATAGCCACTCGCCGAAGGCTTCGCTATTGACCCAAAATGCAAATTTGCATCGGATTTCGGTCGTTCGATTCCGCTTGCCAAGATCTGCAGACCATCGGTGGATGGAGTGGAAGAACTGGAGATCACCCAGTGCAGCAGCTTCCGGCTCTGGGTTACTGTCTTCCACAAGAAGCCGCTTAGAGAACCGATTCGTATCCATTTCCATATATCCGTATCTGTATCTGTATCTGTATCTGTATCTCCGTATCCGCATCTTTTGGCTGCTGCGAACGGCAATTGTGTTGGGAAGTTACTTCTCCAGAATCCAAAAATATGTGCAAACAGAACAATGATTAATAATAATGATTAATAATTAATAATCGCATTCATAGCTTTAAATTTGGAATTTTCTAAGCGATGAGTGCATTCAATTCATAAATCTTTGCTGTGATTCACGCTACTGAAGTCTTAAGCTTGAACATTTCTACAAAGAACAATTATTTTAATCTTAGCTTCATTAATGGCATTTTTCAAGAGCAAGTGCACTTTGTAGTAAATAATATCCTCAAGCCTTATCTTTGATGATTCACGTTACTGAGTTCTTGAGCTTGGGTGTTAATGCTTTTCTCTGCCTAAGATATGTATTTAACAGTTTTTAACAGATTTTAACAAAGATTTATTTGGGTAGTGAAACGTGTGGTTTTGGTTTGCCTAATTAAATTATATATGTACTCAGAAGAATAACGCAATAACAATCGAAATGTAAAATGAAATCAAAAAACGGAAACAACAGAATGTTAAATGTATGAATAAAATAGGATTGCATTAAATACAATAAAAATAATAAAAATAATCGTTACATCAAAATTGAGCTATTCAAGATGAATTGTTAATTATTAATGAAAAGTTTTTGAAAATTGTATAGCCACTTAAATCTTCAATCCCCTTTTAAAAGTATGAAAGTTGCTTCATCAAGAGTATAAATAAGGATGTGACTAGTTTGTTTCTAGTGATTTCTGTAAAGCCTTACAAAAATATTCGGCTTATAGGATCACTATCTTATAGTAACAGCTAACAAAATAAATCCCCTGATTACCTGCAAACTTAAGAGAAAGAGAGAGTGAGAGTGCCGCCTCGTATCTCTTGAGTGCTCTGCGCTGCTTCTTTCCACTCAAACCGATCTCCACTCAAACATGTTCGACCGGCTTGGCTCGAAGTTGGATCACTGCCCAGTGCTCGGATTGGCTCGACCTGTTGGATTCAAACCGTTTTGTCCGATCGAACCGACTGATAGTATATCGCCGCCGACAGAGGCTGCGCTGCTCGGGGGGAAACTTGTTGAACTGTTTGGCGCTGCTTCGTCTAGAGAGCTTGTGACCTCCACCTCCACCTCCCCCTCCTCCCCTTCTCCCCCCACCATCACACTTCCCCAATCTCAGTGGGATTCTATGGGGGAGGGGGAGTTGGGGTTAGAGCTCCTCTGCCGACGTCGCCTTAGAGCCAGAAGACAGAGCGCAGCGAGCCCCAAACAGACGTCGTCGGTCGCTTGGAGCTGTAGAGCAGTAGAGCTGCTGAGGAGCTGAAGAGGTGTGGTTGAAGCTGAAGTTAAAAACTGAAGCTTAAGCTAAAAAACTGAAGCTGGAAAACTAAAGCTGAAGCTGAAGCTGAAGCTGGGCGGCTGAGCTGTTGAACTGTTGAGCTGTAGAGCTGAAGAGCTGTGGCCGCTCCGCCGAGCAGCCGAAGCCGAGACCGAGACCGGACCGAACCGAGCGCAGCACCACCAGCAGCACCAGCAGCAGCAGCAACAGCAACAGCAACAGCAGCAGTAGCAGCAGCAACAGCAACAGCAAAAGCAACAGCAACAGCAACAGAAACAGCAGCAGCAGCACACCGCAGCACCACCAGCACACCACCACCACCAGCACAACAGCACAACAGCAGCACCACAATAAGCCGCGCCGCGGTGCGCCGAGCCGCTTCGCTCCGAACCGCTCCGCTCCGATCGGATCCGCTCAGCCCAGCTCAGCTCAGCTCCGCTCCGCGCCGCGCCGCGCGCTTCGATCGCCGTCGATCACTCGTTTCGCTTCGCGCTCTGCTCGCTCGCTCACTCGCGCGCTCGAAGCGGGCTCGAGTTGTTATAAAAGTGGCAAGGACATACGGTCGAGCCATTAGTCGAAAACTATAAACGCTCGACGCGAAATCGTCTCCGGGTCTCCGTCTCCGTCAACATAAACATAAAGCATAAAGCTAAAAGCTAAACGCATTAAGCATTAAGCATTAAGCCTAAAGCATAACCGCAACCGTTAACGCCAACCGATACTGAACCGATACACAACCGATTACTGCAAATAAATTCGGAACACTGTTATTTTTTTTTCGAATTTATTTCGACCGAAAGCCCGAAGGATTTGTTTGTTTTTTTTTGGTTCAAGTGCCAGTCCGAAAAAGGCGAAGAAAAGCAAAAGTGACCAATGGCCAATGGAGCAGTGCGGTAAATAGGAGACCCAAAAACCAATCCAAGCCAAAAGGCAGAAAGCCAAGAAGTTAGCAAGGAGGAGGATAACCGAATCCCACAGAGAAATCAATCGAGAGGACAGAGCAAAGGATCGAGAAGAGGAGCCACAATGCTGACCGATTCGTACCTGATCAAGTTCCTGCTGCGCCAACTGCAGGTGCAGCAGGACGGCGATGCCCAGCACCTGCTGATGGTCTTCCTGGGACTCCTGGCGCTGGTCAGCCTGCTCCAGTGGCTGGTGCGCAACTACCGCGAGCTGCGGAAGCTGCCGCCGGGTCCCTGGGGACTGCCAGTCATCGGCTATCTGCTCTTCATGGGCAGCGAGAAGCACACCCGCTTCATGGAGCTGGCCAAGCAGTACGGATCCCTCTTCTCCACGAGACTGGGCAGCCAGCTCACGGTCGTGATGAGCGACTACAAGATGATACGCGAGTGCTTCCGGCGGGAGGAGTTCACCGGTCGCCCGGACACGCCCTTCATGCAGACCCTCAATGGTTATGGTAAGTCGGGAAAAACCCAGTGGGATTATAGAAAATATAAAATAGGGGGTGTTCTATATAAGCTATAAGGTGTAAACTATAAACTAGGAACCCAGATAACCTTCACCTGTTGTCCAGTATTAGATTTTACAACTCTGTTTACTACCACGAAATAGTATGTAGTAAATAGACGTTGTACTCTGGAAAATATCCCACAAAAACCGCTGCGAAAGCGAAAACTTATCATCACATCAAGTCCAGGAACTTACAATATATATATATTTATAAATATATAATCGAAATATGCCTATATAGTACCCGATGTAGTGCAAAACGTAAAAGTGCCTAAAAGCCCCCAATTAAGCGATGAAATTCCGCTGGCATTTCTTTGTCGGCGGTTTATTTTCTTTCCGCTCTCTTTGATTTTCGATTTTCGATGTTCGATTTTGTTTTTATTTTCTGTATTTTAATTAAAAATAAGAAAAAAAAAACACTTTTTGCACTTTTTTGTCTTTACTTCTGATTGCCTTTAGCTGCACTTATTAAACACATATTGTTGCCAATGATAAGGCAGTGCGGCTCTTTTTGTTTCCCTGCCGCAAAATCACGTTTCTGGCTTTTGTTTCTGTATGTTTTTCTGCATTTTTCGCTGTGATTTCTTTTCTGGTATTTCGCTTTTGCCGAAGCCCCCAAACAATTTGGGGGAAGTAGGGCAAGAGCCTACCTCAATTAAAGCGCGTAAAGATTGCGGTGTTAAAAATTAAAAAAAAAAATAAAAATAAATAAAATAAAAAGATAAGCCCGAATCCGTTGCTTAAACCGATTTCTTGTCCGATTTGCAGGCATTATCAACAGCACTGGCAAATTGTGGAAGGACCAGCGACGCTTTCTGCACGACAAACTCCGCCAGTTCGGGATGACCTACATGGGCAATGGCAAGCAGCAGATGCAGAAGCGCATCATGGTGAGTCCCCCTAATCCCAGCCAGAAATCAAAGGAGCAACCCCTGACCTTTGCTCTCTCATTACTTTCTGATCAGACGGAAGTGCACGAGTTCATTGGCCACTTGCATGCCAGCGACGGACAACCGGTGGACATGTCACCGGTGATTTCGGTGGCCGTCAGCAATGTCATCTGCAGCCTGATGATGTCCACGCGCTTCAGCATCGATGACCCGAAGTTCCGCAGGTTTAACTTCCTCATCGAGGAGGGCATGCGCCTGTTCGGGGAGATCCACACGGTGGACTACATACCGACGATGCAGTGCTTCCCCAGCATCTCGACGGCCAAGAACAAGATCGCCCAGAATCGCGCCGAGATGCAGAGATTCTACCAGGACGTGATCGACGATCACAAGCGCAGCTTCGATCCCAGCAACATTCGGGATCTGGTGGACTTCTACCTCTGCGAGATCGAGAAGGCCAAGGCCGAGGGCACCGATGCCGAGCTCTTCGATGGCAAGAATCATGGTGAGTTCGAGTCCCTTACTTCATCTACTTAGTATTTATAAGTAACTCATTTGGCTTTGCAACTCCTCCTAACCCTTAATTGTTTTTCCTTTGAATCTCGCAGAGGAACAACTGGTTCAGGTAATCATCGATCTGTTCTCCGCCGGCATGGAAACCATCAAGACCACCCTCCTCTGGATCAATGTGTTCATGCTGCGCAATCCCAAGGAGATGCGTCGTGTCCAGGACGAACTGGACCAGGTTGTGGGTCGCCATCGGTTGCCCACCATCGAGGATCTGCAGTACCTGCCCATCACGGAGTCCACCATTCTGGAGTCCATGCGCCGCTCCAGCATCGTTCCCTTGGCCACCACTCACTCGCCCACAAGGTAAGCTATTCCACACAGATTATAGATGATAGATTGTGGCTAGATTTCAGGGGGGGATTGGAGGGGCAGCTGTGGGTGCTCTGGGTGCTCTCGGGTAATCAGCAGATGGAGTGCTTACGCACTGGCGTTCCAGAGATCTACGCAAATGCCGCGAGGTCCGTTCATTCACACCAGATCCACGGCGATTGCCATTCATTGTCGTGGCACTCCATTGAGCCAGCCGAGTGCCCCCGGAACACCAACAGCCCCCCAATCTTGAAGAGCATGCGTGCGTGGCCCACTTTCAATTCGATTCGATTAGTGATTAGTGATTGGTGATTAGTGGCAATGCGCAGTGGGCCCAGCCCCTACTTGCAATGCTGATAATCTTGAGCCAAGAAAAGCAAATAAAACTAATCACAATTTCCCCCCCGTCTCTTTTCTGCTCCTGCTGCTTTCAGGGATGTGGAAGTGAATGGTTATACCATACCGGCCGGCTCGCATGTCATCCCGCTGATCAACAGCGTGCACATGGACCCCAATCTGTGGGAGAAGCCGGAGGAGTTCCGCCCCTCGCGATTCATTGACACGGAGGGCAAGGTGCGCAAGCCGGAGTACTTCATCCCGTTCGGAGTGGGCAGGAGGATGTGCCTGGGCGACGTGCTGGCGAGGATGGAGCTCTTCCTGTTCTTCGCCTCGTTCATGCACTGCTTCGACATCGCACTGCCGGAGGGCCAGCCGCTGCCCAGCCTGAAGGGCAATGTGGGTGCCACCATCACGCCGGAGTCCTTCAAGGTTTGCCTCAAGCGGCGTCCATTGGCTCCCCACTGCCGCGGATCCCCATCACATGCGCAACGTGGGCGCCAACTAATGTGGAGTTTCGGTTCGCGCCACAGAGCACGGTTTTGTTCCTACACAAAAGAAAAAAAAAAAAAAACAACAGAGAAAAAATCAACAAGATGAAAACAACACAACACAAAAGCGAGATGCGCCACCTCCAATCGGAGCGATCCGTTTAGCCATTCAAGCTTATAGTTATCCGCCCGTGGGAGGAGCAGATCCTGGCCAGAAATCCTGGCTAGATCCTGGCCAGAAATCCTGGCTAGATCCTGGCCAGATCCTGGCTAGAAGCAGTGAGAGCAGAGCAGCCGGAAGCTGTGACCAAGCAACCACAACGAGGACTGCAAACAATTCTATTCTTTCACCCCCAAGAAGCTGTGTTCAACTAATTGTAATTACACCCCTAGTTTTAGCCTAGTTACGATTCTATCTATAATGTTTATGTTTTTCATTATTATTAATATTATTATTAATATTATTATTATTATTATTATTATTATTTTTATTATTATTATTATTATTATTATTTTTATTATCGGTAATCTTACGATATTGCTATGTGTACAGCCAGCAGGCCGATTAGCCCTAAGTGTAGTTAGCTAACGTTCTTGTTTATTCCTAGTATTAGTGCTAGCTTAATGTCCAAACAACAAACAACAACAACAAAACAACAAACAACAAAACAAACTGTGGTTTAGTCTTACAAGCACACATCAAAAAATAGGCAGACAATTCGAAAATAAAGAAAAACTTGTGAAAAAACCTTAAACAAAACTGAGACAATTGCTTTCTATTCAACTATTTTTTTTGGGGGTTAACATTTTCTGGCTTTCAAGGGGATTGGGTTTTTTGCAATCCTGAAATCCTCTTGAATTTTAACAGTTAAAAAATGGAATTAAAAATGCACTGTATCCAAAAAAATGGGTAGTCAAAAATATTTTATTTAAAAGTAATATTTTGGGTACTTAAATTCAATCATTTTATTATTTCATATCTACTTTATCAAAAATTAATATAAAAAATGTTTACTTAAAATTTTTTTTTTTAACATTTGAATTCAACTTAAAGAATTTTTTATCAAAATTTAAAAGAGATGAGTAAATCCGTTTCCAATTTTATAAAAAAAAAATATTTTTTTTCTCCATATTTATCGATATTTTCATTTCCAGTAACTTGATTTGTTGGAATAATAAAACACATTAGGCCATTCCATACGCAAAGGGTTATAATATAGTTTATAATGTGGGTTTTGAGGAAGTAAAAAAAAATTGGAATAGAAAAGGAGGCTATTTAGCTAATCCCGCAGCGCCTTCCGGCTCCTGGCGAATCCTCTTCCCCGGCAGCTTGCTGAACCTGAGCTTGTGGGGCACGGGGGTCAAGGTGATGCCGCTCTCGCCCTCCATGTCCACGTCGCATCCCTGCGGCAGCTCCAGGTGGAATCGCCTGAAGATCCTGCCCGCGAAGAGGGTGAGCATCATGCGGGCCATCTCGTCGCCGGGACACATTCGACTGCCGGAGGAGAAGGGGATGAACTGCGGCGGCGCCAAGTAGGATCCATCGGGGGCCAGAAAGCGCTCCGGTCGGAACTCCTCCGGTTCGGGGAAGGCCACCGGATCCATGTGGATGGCCCACTGCAGAGCCACGATCATGGAGCCCTTCTTGATGAAGTGATCGCCGATGGTGCAGTTCTGCTTGCTGCCATGGGGAATCCCCAATGGAACCACACTGCGAATGCGTTGTGTCTCCGAAATGCAGGCCCTCAGGTAGGTGAGTGGTTCCAGTTCCTCCAATGTGGGTGCTCCACTCAACGGGAGCAGCTCCTCGTGCAGGCGACGCTGGCATCGCTGCTCCTTGGCCAAGTAGAGGAGGAACCAGCGCAAGGTGGCCAACGAGGTGTCCACTCCTGCTCCAAAGAGATCGGCCAGCAGGTGACGCAGCTGATCGTCGCAATAGAGCTGCGAGTCCGGATGGCGAGCGATGAGGAACTGTTCCAGGATGCAATGCGGCTGGTACTGCTCCTCGTACTCCTCCTCACTTTCCTCCTCCTCCTCCTGCGCCTTCTGTTCCTGAAGATCTTGGGGATCTTTCTCCTCCTCTCTAACTTCCTGCTGATCCTCCGCCAGCTTCTTTTTCTGCTCCTTCTCCATCTCCTTCAGCTTCAGCCTCTCCTGCCTGACCAGCTCCTGCTGCTCCTTGTGCAGCCTGAGCTTCTCCTGCAGCTTCCTGCCACACGCCTCCACAATCCGATCGTAGATGGCGTGCGTCTTGGACTTCCCCTCCAGCAGGAAGCGGATGTTGCGCTCGTTCTCGGGCAAGTGGCGCAGCCAGGGCAGGAAGTTCACCACGCCGGAGACGCCGATCAGCTTGACGCCCTCCTCCTGGAGGCGCTGCAGGTACAGCCAGTCGGGGTCGTCCCTCTTGTAGGTGATCCCGAACACCAGGTCGTTGACTATGTTGCCCAGCGAGTGGTGCAGCGCTCCCAGGGGGTTCACCTCCGCGTTGCAGTTCTTCGCCGCCTCCGATTCGTAGAGCTGCGACAGAGGATAATGACATTTAAAATGTATACTACAAGTCAACATAATATGAACTGAGTGTTCTAGAAGGGAAACTTTTTCAAAGCAAATATTTTTAATATATCAATCAAATAAAGTGGGGCATAAAAAAGTGATCCTAACTTTTTGATTCGTAGAGCTGCGACAGAGGATAATGGCAATCAAATGTTATACTAGAAGTAAAAAAAATATGAACTAAGTGTTCTAAAAACAAGGCATTAGGAAACTTTTTTAAAGCCAATATTCTTATAATATCAATCAAATAAAGTAGAGCATAGAATGTGATCCTAACTTTTTTCTTATGATTCGACAAACATATTTAAATAATTTCTTATAACTTTGAAATGAAGATATGTAGCCTAAACAAATATAAAATCCATTTATATTCAGCTTTTTGGTTAGAAAAGAAAGGGAAATCGCTAAGGCGAATGCAAAGTTTATGCAATGTCCTAGTTTTCCGAGTAAAAAGAGTAAGGAAAGGGTTAAGGGAAATGGGGAATGGGGTTTCGGAGTTACTTACTCGGAGGCACTCGTCCACTCCCCTGGAGATGCGCTTCTCCAACTGGGCACGCAGCTGCCCGGGTCGCTTGGTCATTCCCAAGGCCTTCAGCCAGGCGGTCACCTCTCGCCGGGCATGATGCCAAATGTCGCCCTGGGCACAAATGATTCCTGGCCAGAAGGGAATTAATTTGGAGAAAGGAAGTAAAAGGCATCTGCAACTCACCATAGCCACCCATGATGCCGTGGGTGAGGTACAGTGGAGCCCGGCCGGTCATGACCTCGCGGCGGAAGAACTCCCTGACCATCGCCGCGTCCGAAAGGATAATGGTCCGCACACTGCCCATCTTCAGTTGGAAAACGCCGCCATATCGCTTGGCCAACTTCTGGAGCGATTTGTGCGGGGCACGCGCGTCCAGGAAGGGAAGGTAACCCAGCCAGGGCAAGCCCCAGGGTCCCGGCGGCGGAACGCCCAGGATATCGTCGTACTGGTGCTCGCACAGGTAGAGAACCACCAGGACGAGGACGCCGGGCACCAGGAAGGCAGTCAGCACCTCCGCCGAGGGCCACCAACCTGTGCCGCCAATTTCCGACTCGATGGCCGACATCACTTTCGATTTCCGTTCGCTCTCACTTTCCTGCGGCTCTTTCTGTTGCCTTACTTCTCTTCTTGGCCTTTACTTATGAGCGTTTTTTTTTTTTTTTGTGTTTTCCGCTTACCCTGTTAGAGGCTCTCAATTCCGATCGTATCGTATCGTATGGTATCGAATCCCGACGTCCAGTCGCCAGCAGAGCTCTGCGATTACTGGAATTTCTTTAGAATTTGAAACGAGTCTCGCGGCGCAGAAATGCAAAAAAAAAAAGAAAAAAAGAGCACCGAAAAAAAAGTCGGAAAAAAACGAAAAGGAAAAAAAACAGGGCAGCGGCGAGCTGTCAACGTGTCTACGTCAGCAACGGGAAAAGAGGAAAGGGAAGAGGAAGAGCGACCGCCGAAGGCCGCCAGACAATGGTATCGTATCGTATATGGTATGGTATATGGCATGCTATATGGTATCGTATATGGCATGCTATATAGTATAGTATAGGTATGGAATGGGATGGTATGGTATCATCAATATACCAAGATGTTCCACCAAATCCCGAGTTTTCGTTTTTGCGACCTCCAAGGAGAAGGCGAGTGCGAAAGTAAAATTTGAAAACGAAATCATTGCCCGATCTTATATCGTATGCACATTCATTACACCCACTCAACGGATCACCGAGACCTCAACACTCAGCTACCTTTCGGATTTACCAGATATCTTTTATATTAGGCAAGGGCATTCAGCTGTCCTGCTGGCTTACCCAAAAATAAATGCCCAACTTCGCGGGTGTGCAGGAACTCGTACATTTATTCAAGCGACTGACTGACTGCTGACTACCTTTCCATTTCCATTTCCATTCCCATTTCGATTTCGATTTCGATTTCTATTTCTGCCACATTTGCACTTTTCTTGTGTACTCCTTAATTTCGCGGCTGCTGAATTGCTTTCGATTTTGGGTTTACCTAAGCCACAGGCAGCAGGAACAAGGGCCTCGATTACGGCGGGGTTTTCCCAGCACTGAAAGAAATCACTATGTGACATGGGTGGGATACGGAAAAGAAAAAATATAGAGAAGAGAAATTTATAAGATCCGAACAGGATTTGATTAGGATAATTCATGAGAAATAGGAATTATAAATCAATATGATCTATAAATATATAAAACATATCGATATATCAGAATGATTATACGGCACAAAAAATATTTACACTTTATGAACATAATAATAATAAAAAATAAGGAAAATAAGGTAATAAAAAGTGTATTGTGAAGAGGAAGCTGTGATTGAAGCCATACTTTCAGGAATATTGTAATGTTAAATAATATTACAAATACAATGCATTTTGGGGGATTATATTTAGATCATCAGAATGTATAGATCATCAGACTTGTTTAGTATTACTCTTATTTGTTTCTCTCCGTGTGGGGAAATCAAGGAGCCACTCGAGATAACTGACTGAATTCCTTCGCCTGCGGACTGGGGATTTCCAGATGCCCCGGCGCAACTCTGAGTCATGTCAGTGGTGCATCTTCTGGGGGAAAGAGAGTGGCGGCGAACGGAGGAGGGTGGCGAGTGGCAACAGCAACCAGCAACCAGCAAACAGGGAACAGGGAACACAAAAACAGCAGTCACCAGTCAGCAAAAGGCAAAAGGAAGTGGAAAGGGCTCGCGAGGCTGGAACAACAAAAAAAAAAAAAACAAGTTCAGGGCCAATGGCATGCGCTTAAATAGATCCATCGGCCGTTGACTCCTCGATCGCTCATCGGGACAAAGGAGCAGAGAATCGGGCATCGAGCATCGAGTGCGAAGCATCGAGATCTACGATCACTGGGATCGCCGCCTCAGCCGTGGCATTAACTTTAAATTTACCTGTACGTTTTAATAACCCGCCGATGGGCAAACCTGGCAACTTGGCAAACCTGGCAACTTGGCAACTGGGCAAGTTGGCTGCGTGCAGCGGTCGCCGAACCTTTCCATTGTCCAGACTTCGTTTCCGATTCATACCCCGATTCAGATTCAGATTCAGATTCAGTTTGAGACTGAAGTTCAGACCTAAAACTCCGACTCAGACACAGCAGACACTTGGGTCCATCGAGCGGCAGCGACAATGTTCTTGAGTGGCAGACGGTTCAGACGGCTCGGAAGGTTCAACAGACGCCAAGATCATTGGCCTGCCGGGGCAACATCCTATGGACTATGGACTCTAGACCATGGCTCCCGCTGCCAAAGGGAAAGGACATCAACCCATCCGAACGGCCGAGCGGATGCTGCCTGTCAACGCGGCCTGAATTATTTTTAAACCCTTTCGACTGCCTTCGCTTCGCAGTGTGGCTAAAAAAACTAAAACCGCAAGAGATTCAGACGGGAAGATCCGAAAAGGGAGTGCGATTGGCGGGGAGTCGGGGTTGGTCGGGGTCACCAAAGCCTAACTTCAGAAATATTTACAGCTTTTATCTTATGCCTTTTCGAACTTAAAAAAAAAACAATGTAGTTATAAAGTTAAAGAAATAAGATTTTAAACCTAAAAGCCATTGTTAAATAAAAAGTTGTAAATAAATAGTTGCAGAATCACTATTCACTATCTTTAATAGTTGTTTCTTAGATATTTGCTAAAAAAATCTTATAATCTCTAATGAACAAATATAAAAGACTCAGTTACTCTCAAGCCCGCAAATGATTGATAAGCAATGGTTTAAAAAAGGGAAGCAATTGTTGTCTCAAAAAACTTAGCTTTTAGGGAAAAATTATTTGTTATTATTAACTAAACATAATTCACCAAAAACTAAAACCAAACATCGTTTTCATTAAAAAACAAAGCTGTCCATTCTTTAGGTTAGATACATGTACATTTTTATCATCCATTAAAAATTATATCATCTTTTCCAAAAGCTTCCTAAAGATTTTCCTTTCTGCCGCAAAGTGTTACCTTTTCCTTCACTTTTTATTACAAACTGGGTTAGTTGGTTGGGTTGAAAATCTTGGCTGCACTTTAGAAATACAATTAGCCAAAAATTGATCAGGTTTAGGTAATTGGGAGGGCCACCTCATCCCACGGAAAGTGAGTGCACAACGCATTTCCACACACTCATGTTGATATAATGCGTCTAATCAGCGCATTGCGCACGAAAATTCGAATTTCGGAGTGTGCCGCCGCTCGCTGGAAATCGAATCAAATCGACTCGACTCAAATCGAATCGAATCGAGAATTGAATTGAATCGAAACGAAACGGATCGAATCGGGGGCACGATTCATGGCACCCGGCTCACGTGGCGTATTCGCGTTCTCTTATCAGGCAGACAGACAGTTTCGTCAAGCCGCCGTCGCATTGATATTTCGGTTGCAACAGCGTGTTGATATTGCGATTGGATGGCAAATGCTTGGTTCACCCTCCCACTTTTCCACCCTCCCACCTCCCCCTCCCCCTTTACCACTCCTTTGTTCCTTTCTGTATGACCGCATCCCCATCATGTTTGCTCTTCGCACACACACACACCCAATATATATATATATTGTTTTATGTTTTTTTTTTTCGAAAGCGCACAACCCCATCTTGCCGCTCCGCTGCAGGAAAATGTGTCAAGGTAGTTTGCATGCTTTATTTTTTTTAACCCAATTCCAATGTTTATACACTCATCCAATGTATCAGTTTGGCTGCCGTCTCATTTTCCCCCTCCTCCTGCTTTTCAATTTTTTTCCACGTTGTTTTTCTTTGGATTTCGTTTTTTTCTATGCGACGAGGCTTTACGGCACGCGCCGCGAATGGAATGGTAATTCAAGCCCCACCGAATTCGCTGCGTCCGATGGTTTTGCGACATTAATGGAGCATCTCGCATTTGGTGGCAAAGTCCAAGGTTGAGCCCCAGAATGGTCGAGCGGACAGGCCCCTGCGGCTGACCAGAGTCAGCGCTTTCGCCCCCGATTCGAGTTGCAGTTCGCAGTTGCAGTTGCATTTACCCCCCAGAAAGCAAAGGTGGGCTCAAGTGGCCAAGAGCGGCGTTTTCACGTGCTAAGAAGACGCAATTTTGTATACTTTCTGTTGACAGAATAGTCGCAATCTATTTATAGAAATATAGAAATGCCACAATGCATTTTGTTGTTTGAAGAATATTCTGTACAATTTCCATGGAGAGCTGTTTAAACGGCCATGGCAGAATTTACTATTTTAAATTTGGTTGAATTGCGGAGTGGCCAAAAACTGATTTTCAATGATGCTGTGTTATTAAAAATAAAACCATTTAAAAACCAAAATATCTAATTCATATCTGTAGATAAACGCGCAGATTTATTTCGTTTATTGGAAATAGTTTTAATGAATAAACTTAACTATCACTGAGGACGTTTTTTTAATTTTTGGTTGACAAATTATATTAATATTTATATTAGCATATCAGAATTAATCTGCCAATCGATCGTGCGGCAGTTGTAATGTTATAAGCTAGAATAAATACCATCGAAAATTCTTTAAAGCTTAAAGCCCAACAATATTTGGATTTCAATGTTTATATGTTTTATTTATAATTAAATTTTTGTTTTATATTTCAAATTTCTTCACAACATTCTTGAAGTATTATGCACTCATTAAAGACAACTTGTTTAGCTTAGTAAAAAACTAAAACCAATGCACTGGGCTTTCGGCAGTTTCCCTTGGGTTTGAACCAAGGTGGCAAAAGCCAAGGTGAGGCATCCAAGAAGTCAGCCAAGAAGAGTCTGCTGGTGGCGGTCGTTCGACCCATCTTCTCTTCGGCAGATTTCATTGCCGTTGTGGAAGCTCAAATCACAGCGCATCTGGCATCTGGCGTCTCCCAAAAATTGCCACTTGGGCAATTAGTGGCTTTGTTTTCCACGATTGCCGTGCGATTTGCTGTGTGACTTACTGTATGATTTACTGTGGCTCCGACGGCGATGGCGATGGCGTTGGCGATGGCGATGGTGACGGGTTTGCATGGATGTGATTGGCGTGCCAAATCGAATACGAATTTTACAAATACCTTGACATCTTTCATAGGCCAAGCGAGCGTTCGTTTAACCCATCCGGCGGCCAGCCGACAGCCACCCAAAGAACGTGCCAGCAACTGCATTCTATCTGTCTGTCTGTCGGTCTGTCGGTCTGTCGGCTCTTTAAACAACCGTCGTCGGTTGGCAATAAAATTAAAAGAATTTACATTCGGTCACATTTTCATTTCATTCTCGGACTCGCACTCGGAACCGCACTCGGATCTATGGGGACTGAGTCGGAGACTGGGACAGAGCAACCTGCCCAGATATTGCCCCCCATTAAAATATGGCAAAATAAACAGCTCCCGCCATAAACAATACTTTGCAGTCTTTACTCTTTACAAATGGACGCAGGCCACTCTTAAAATGTTAAAATTGAGTGCGTCACTCAGGTGTTTATACTTGCTTCATTATTTTGTAAAACAAATTAATAAAATGTAATAAAAAACATTCTTTCGCACTTTTAAGGCTTCAAATTCACAAAGTAACTTGGAAATTGTTACTTATTTGATTATTAAGGGAAGCAAATTAATAACATTTTTCTTTCAACATAGCATATTTTTACTTTATGTTCCTATGACAATTATATGATACAGTCGTCTGATGTTCATGAAATTTAATTAAATAATTTATTAAATAAAGTCTATGAAAATAATTACTTTCAGAGGCAAGTCACTTCAAAATTCGATTAAAATTAGAAAAGTTATTGGAGAATTTTCTTATGATGCAGTTTGTTAGAGAATAAAAATACAAACATTTAGCGGTATGCCACTTCACTCAGGTGTTTTAATCAACATACTTTAATATTTTCTAATATTTCT